TACTCGAAATGCAACGTGAAGGTAGACAAATCGAAACAAATTGATCCAAACGTGTTATATATTTGAAACTGAGAAATACACAGAGCATATCACAAATGTTCGCCTATTCCAACCCTATGGTGCAACATATAGATTAAACAGATGCTATGTTGTGAGTGTCAAGATATCAATACCAAGTCAAAATTATGGCATTCCAATAATATTGATAAAAACTGCGCAAAATATATCTCAAAAACCCGCATATATATGGCTAGTTATTAAGCGTGACATATAATTGAAAAACAAAATTTTGAAATGCCATACATAGGGAGAAACAATACACAAAATATATTTCAAACGTATCACCAATCTGATTGCTAAAGTGTGAAATATTATTTTGAAAAGGAAGTGTGGTATATAATAGTAAAATAAAATATGAAAGTGCTAATAATATTGAGAAACAATAAAAGAAAATTATATATACGCAGAAGGTAACCGCAGAATGAAATTCGGAAATGCCAATAATATTGAAAAAATATCACACAAACTTTATCCCAAATGTCCACCTATCCGGCCTTTTCAAGTTATACAAATAATGGGAATTCTGGTATGTCATTAATGAAGACAAACATCACACAAATTGGATTTCAAATGTTCATCTATCCGGTCACTCAAATGTGGCACGTAATTGAAAAATGAACACCAGCCCTATTGAGAAACATTACACAAAATATATCTCAAATGTCAACTTATCCGACCACCTAAGGGTGGCATACAACAATTAAAAAAAAAATCTTAAATCATATTGAGAAACATCACACCAAAAATATATCTCAAATGTCCACCTATCCGGCCATTTAAGTGTGGCATACAACCAATTAAAATAAAAACTCTGAAATCATATCAAGATACATTACACAAAGTATATCCAAACGTCCACCTATCCGGCCACCTAGTGTGGCATTAAACATTAAAATGAAAATTCTGAAGTCATATTGAGAAACATTACACGAAGTATATCTCAAATGTCCACCTATCCGACCACCTAAGTGTGGCATACAAGAATTGAGATGAAAATTCTGAAATCATATTGAGAAACATTACACGAAATATATCTCAAATGTCCACCTATCCGGCCACCTAAGTGTGGCATACAAGATTTGAAACGAAAATTCTGAAATTATATTGAGAAATATTACACAAAGTTTATCTCAAATGTCCACCTATCCGGCCACCTAAGTGTTGCATACAAGAATTGAAATAAAAATTCTGAAATCTTATTGAGAAATATTATACAAAGTATATCTCAAATGTCCACCTATCCGGCCACCTAAGTGTGGCATACAAGATTTGAAATGAAAATTCTGAAATTATATTGAGAAATATTACACAAAGTTTATCTCAAATGTCCACCTAACCGGCCACCTAAGTGTTGCATACAAGAATTGAAATGAAACTTCTGAAATCATCTTGAGAAACATTACACAAAGTAAATCTCAAATGTCCACCTATCCGACCACCTAAGTGTGGCATAAACAATTGAAATGAAAATTCTGAAATCATATTGAGAAACATTACACAAAGTATATCTCAAATGTCCACCTATCCGGCCACCTAAGTGTGGCATACAACAATTAAATGAAAATTCTGAAATCATATTGAGAAACATTACACAAAGTATATCTCAAATGTCCACCTATCCGGCCACCTAAGTGTGGCATAAAATTAAAATGAAAATTCTGAAATCATATTGAGAAACATTACACAAAGTATATCTCAAATGTCCACCTATCCGGCCACCTAAGTGTGGCATACAAGAATTGAAATGAAAATTCTGAAATCATATTGAGAAACATTACACAAATATATCTCAAATGTCCACCTATCCGGCCACCTAAGTGTGGCATTAAACATTAAAATGAAAATTCTGAAATCGTAATGAGAAACATTATACGAAGTATATCTCAAATGTCCACCTATCCGGCCACCTAAGTGTGGCATACAAGAATTGAAATGAAAATTCTGAAATCATATTTGAGATATATTACACAAAGTATTATCTCAAATGTCCACCTATCCGGCCACCTAAGTGTGGCATACAAGAATTAAAATAAAAATTCTGAAATCATATTGAGAAACATTACACAAAGTATATCTCAAATGTCCACCTATCCGGCCACCTAAGTGGGCATAAAACCAATCAACCAATGGAAATCTCTGGAAAATCAGTGAATTTGGAAGAAACATTACAGCCAAAGTTATTCTCACAAATGTCCACCTATCCGACCACCCTAAGGGGAGCATAACAAAAATTGGAAATGAAGAAATTCTGGGAAATAATCCAAAATATATATGTCAAATGTGCCGCATGATCCGACCCACCTAAGTGTGGTCATACAACTATTGAAACAAAATTCTGGAATCGTATTGAGAATCTTACCACAAAATATATCTCACACACTTAAAGTGTGGTGAAATTTAGATCCTGGAAATAAAATTTCGGATTACTAATTCTATTTTGATTTGTGGAAAATTGCATCAAAATTTATCTCTAATGTTCACCTATCCGATAACTTGAGAGTGACAAATATTATAAAACAAAATTTTGAAACCATATTGAAAAACAAAACAGAAATAAATCGCAAATCGTCATCTACTCAGCTACGTAAGTGTGTCATGTAAATGCAAAATGATATTTTGGAATGGCAATAATATTGAGAAGCATTCAAAAAAAATTTCAACCATCCGACCATTTCAGAAGGTATGTAATTAAAACACGAAATTCTGAAAAAATATCGAGAAACATTACACACAACATATCTCAAATGTTCAATAAAGTGACGTTTTCAGTGGGGCCTATAAATGCGAAACGAAATTTTGCCATGTCAACTAAAATGAGAAACATTACACCAATTATAACTCAAATGTCTACCTATCAGGGCGCCTAAGTATAGCAGTGATTATAGTCAACTATACAAGCGATCAAAATGAAATTATTGAACCTCAATATCAATTTAGAATCTTTGCACAATTTATTTAAAATTTTTGCACCAACTCGGAATACAAAAAATGATTGTTATTTTGAATTATAATTAAATAGTAAAAATGTATGCTAAGTATGTATACGAATGTAGATATGCCCACTAGATTTAAGTTGTTGAGGAGAGACAAAATTATGCTCACTGCCCGGTTCATCCTTTATGAATTATACAGAGATGTCTTGAAGCTTTACAATAAACTTCTCGCAAGATATACAAAGCCGGTGCAATTATTTTTCTTTCGTCGTTTTCTTTTCTGGTTCGCGTTTGTTTAGAAGCTTTTTTGAATGGATTCTACAGCCTTTTTCTTTTCTATATATATAGTTTTCTTCGAAATCACTTACATTGCTTATTGAAAGTGATTCTGAAGATGGTGCGGTATAGTCTTGTTGACTTATCTGAAACTTTGGTCAAAAATACATGCATAAGTCGCAAAACATCATCACAGTGTTTTTAGTCCAATTCAGAATTACGCTACTCTTGATTGATCGAACAAACGAAATATTTGAAATGGAATTGCATTATTACTCAAATAAACCAGAGTTTCTAAACGGTGCACTACAATTATTCGTAGATAGCTGCGCTATTTGTGATGGGCTACAATGATATTATGATTTGGTTTATTACCATTCATTGGTATCAATTTAGATACGTATTTAATAAAAAAACAAGCATAGCAAACTCATTTAGTCACCTCCTGGCACAGCTTTCTCCGAATCACTACCCGCATTTCCGTCTGCCAAGTTCTGAAACGTAGGCCATCTCGTTGGAGAGTCACCTACATGTGAACAAAAAATACAGCCCAGTAAATAACTAGATGAAGATGGTAAAATAACACAGGGATATGTGCCAAATCACAAAACAAAATTGCTAGCAATGCAATTCTTCAAAACTGTTTTCCGAAGATAAAATATTCTAATCTAATATGAAGCGGTGTATTAGATATTTTTATTTACACCAAGCTATACAAACATACTGACGTCAACCACTCGCTTCTCGTATCCTTCTGTTTCGAGAAAAAATTGAATTCATTGAATTTTCACAATCTTCGTTTGTATTTTCATCTGGATTTAGAAATCCTTCTGAATTACACACTCTTACAAAACGCAAACTCAGTCGTGGCATTTTTTGATGGTCAGATCAGAACTACGACCAGTAAAAGCATAAACAGTATCAGTAAGTCGTATATTTTGATAATCTGGATTACGTGAAAAATAACCCTAATATTAAAAATCGTTATGACTAATCACCTTATCCGATGAGTGATTTTGATACTTTTTGATACTGTTTTATCAGAGAAAAAGAGATTTCAGCTAAATATCTCAAAACGTTTTAATTATGGAACGTGGAATAATTAAGCGGACAGGAAAATGTCTACCCCAATTTTTCCGTCTACATAACTGTCGCTTTTTTAGCGCGGTATGTCTACTTAACTACCGTATTAGATATATATATATATAATATTATAGGTTACAGAAAAATTTGAGCAATGGCGAATAAAAATATATTTCATTCAAACTAGTTCATTCAAATGTTACTGAATCAGGATATTTTATGTGGAACTGCCACAGATTTGTATCGTCACAACATGAATTGATTTTTTGCGTGTATCCTCTGCGTCCTCTGACTCAGAGAATCTTCACCCGAATTATAAACAGTTCATTTTGACGTAAAGTAAACATAGAAGGATAGAACAGAACAATGAGTAAGATTCTACTCAAGAACTATGAAATGAAAAAGGGCCTTGGGAGGCATAAAAGCAGCACAATAGAATATAGACTATAGCAGCATTCACATTGCAGCTATGTGAACAACAGTTCATTCTATATTTTTGGTTGTTTCATTGAAATAAACTTCTAATTTTTGATAATATAGTTGAGATGTTTTGAATAAGGCGTTTTAAAGAAGCTTTGTATGATACATATAATATTACGTTTTCCTATTTGTTACAGGTAAATTAGAAAAATCACGAAGCGTTTATGGTCATAATGAGCATGATTTTAATTGTTGAATTACTCTTACTATTGTCATCAATTGCACTGATAACAAATGCAAGTCAGTTACAGAAAAGCTGTATTTCAGGGGGCATGGAAATCGATGCTGGAAAGGTACGGTGGAGATGAAGATAACAACTCAAATTGAGACTAAATTATAGAAGTGTGTTGAACCCACTTGTTTTTGCTGCTTTTTAATGAAAAACATGACTCTTTGAGTTAATATTAAAGTAATTACTTCCAATCCGTTATTAGTCAAAACCATTTTTGTGTAACTAGTATTAAATTCTAATCAACCAATGCTAACATACACCGTGTTTCCCAAATATAAGACAGGGCCTTATTTTAATTTTCTTTCGAAAAATAACACTAGGGCTTATATGGGAGGATGCCATTTATCAAAAAACAAAATTACGAAGTAGAAAATTACGAGATTTTCAAATATACAAAATATGAAACCCGATATCCATTTACTTAAAAATACCACGTTTTTATTAAACAAAAACTGCCATTATTCAAAATTGACCATATCATCATCTCTGGAATGTCATGCCAGTCACTAGATTCATAAATTCCAATGAAGATTTTACTCATTGAACCTTTTCCTTTCTCACGCGTTTTAGTTTAACCATTTGAAACGTGTAAGAGAGATTTCTTGCCTTCGATTAGGTCAAAACAAATTTCACGCTATCGGCTAGATCTTATTTTAAGGGTAGGGCTTGGATTAAAATCATTTTTAAATTTGGGCTAGGTCCTATTTTCAGGCTATAGGACTTATTTTCGGGGAAACACCGTAATTTAGGTTTTTCCCATTTTGTAGTTATCAAAAACTACGTGGTATTCTGGACTGATGAAACAACGTCTAAGGTCTCTTGTGCCTGATTCACTAATATCACGTCTACAGAAACTGGATTCCAAGCTGTTTCAAAGGAAAATGGGTCCAGGTAAATATATGAAAACAAAAAGCAAAATCTACAGAGTATAAATGTGTTACAATAAGTAAAATATTGTTGAAAATAGCTAAAATTAAAAATAAATTATTTACCTATAGTGATTCTTCTACATTTTCATATGTTGTTTAAATTACCAAATCTACCTGAGAACTCGTCCAAGAGTTACGAGTCTATTTCCTCGGATCTGATAGCATACTAATTAATAATGCTTTCCAATAAATTCTCGAAAACACAATTATAAAATTAGATAACAGGTTGCATAGAAGGACAATTTTTTAACACCGTTTTATTTGCCAGATATGTTGAATTTGAATTTCATGTTGACTATGAAGGAGATGGAACTTATCATATTAGGAAATCAGACGATGGTATGTTGTGTACACAAAATGTATCCCAATTGAATGCTTTCAAAACGTCGTGGAAAGTTATTGATTAGCATAACAATGAAAAGTACTAGTAAACTCTTTTATTATTTTCCTTCTAATTTAAGACATTTGTTAATTTTTTGACACAAATTGAACGTTTGCAGAATTTATTCACCTCGAGCACGGAGAGGAAATGAACGGACTTGCGAATGAAGCGGTGTCAAATATGGGTAAAATTACTAATACATGTACATATATAATATAATATTCGATATATAGATAAATTATTATTCTTTTGTTGGTCTGCAGTTAAACTCATTTAATTCTATTTGTTTTAATCAGACAACCTTTTAGACAATGCAGCTATAGTTTTTCTTTCTGACTATGAAAATTATTTTGCGGCTTTGTTATGTCCACTCGACAAAGGTATGAAAACTTATATCAAACTTTTTAAGTACTGGAAGATATTGTAAATTAAATTACCAAGTCGAAGTATTTGTTGTTGCATCATGAACTAGTACAAATACCGGAATATAAATACTCCTTCCATTGAGTTCAAACGTTTGTTCTCTACCCATTGTGGACATGAACAGCAGTCTCGTTTTGCCTTAGCTATATATATATGCAAGGTCTGGTGATATCAGAATCTTATCGAAAAAACTTGTGTGCTTTACTTTGTTCAGATCATCAGGTGATTCGTGGATTTTTTCCAAGTCCAAATCCAACTTTGTGACAGGTTGCAGCCTTCATTAACGTCTTGCATGATGTCGCAATATCTGCAAAATTTTCTCCTTCAACATGTCCAGAAACTGACTGAAGTCATTATTTGAGCTAACCAACTATTATTTATCAATGTTAGTTACATATCTATATATATATATATATATATATATATCTAATTCATCAACAGTCCTCGATGTTTGCTATTATTCAGAATATTGTATTTTAAAAAATAACGCTGATTACGTTGTTTTATAATTATCTAAATATATTTTATCACACCCTTATATGAATGAAAATAATGACTAACTCGTAACCTGTAAGATAATATCACTATTTGACAATTTAGCCATTGATAAAAAAAATGCTAAAAAATACGTTAAATATAATTACTATGACCAAATTTATTGTTAATTAGGTTTTGATTTGGGTATTTTGAGAATTTCGAAAAGTATTGATATTACGTAAAGCGAACTCGCCACGAATTAGCTTGGCTTGGGACAAGATTGTGTTGTCAGTTTAGTTCATGCGATGTGACTGCTATACGTTTCTTAATATAGACGCCGTCGGTAAAAAGTAATGGTCAGAAGGATTGGCAAGATTTACACACAAGCCATTCACAGATTCTCACTTCTCTTTTTATTCACGTTTCTATTGCAAAATATACTAATAGTTTTAAAAATTCGAAATCTTCTTTACGGTCGATAGAGTATAGTCAATGATTCGAGAAAATTCATTCCAGTATATATACATGCTCTTATCCTCTACGTTCATAATGGTCTCCCGGCAGCTTATGCATATACGTACGGTTTCACAAAACATTTTCATGCTTCCGAGTCTTATTCCTCTGTTTTAAATCATTCCTATTTTTACATGTCAATTTGTCGTACTATTTTCAACTTGACAAGCTGGATATTCATCAAGTACATCCGCTTGCTGTTGCCAACCTCCGTTTTTTTTTCAGAGCTCCAGAAGTATATGCACCAAGATAGCGCACATCCTGAACATAGTATTTGTACCAGGTTATGGTTCAGGTTGTGCGCCATCTTGGTGCACATACTTCGGGAGCGGCGTTTTTTTGATCCTGCTTAAATATAATTTTATCAAAATATTAAACCACATTACAAAATATCATTTTGTTTTAAATTTTAGCATGAATATCAATCGAAAACAAATTTAGCACTTTGCCTTAGCCATGATCCATCACAATTATATATACCAGCTTGTCAACAGAATTTCGCAAGTAAAACCAGAGCCAACCTATTTTTAGAATGAGAGCTAAAAAATGACAAAGTTATTAGTAGATTATCAGTAGCATTGTGCATTTCTTTATGTTTATATATTTATTGGTATTCGTTATTCACCATATACTTTCTTTTCATATAGTGGGTAAATTATTATTTACTGATAGCCTAATAAACAAATAGTGATATATAATTATCTATGATTTACCCTATGTGGGATACCTTGTGACATCAAGATGCCAAAGATCAGATGCCCAATCAACGAATGTGAATTTGAAACAGAGGATGAGGCCTCTATTGTTGCTGCATTGCTGAATTTACACGCTACCACACACAGCGCACAAAAAACTCAACAACCCACAACCCAAGTTGAGAAAGTAAAACGTCTAAACATCACATCTGCTAGCTCAACTGAAGAATGGACATATTTTGAATCAAGATGGACAGACTACAAAGCTGCCACAAAAATATCTGGCCAAGACATCATTTACCAACTATTGGAATGCTGTGACGATCCACTCCGCAAAGATCTAACTCGCACCTCACCTAATCTTACAGGAAAATCAGAACAAGACATACTGAACGCTATCAAAGGAAAAGGCCATGATCGCCAGAGTCAAGCTCGCCAACATGAAACAAGACAGAGACGAACCAGTAAGAAACTTTGGCGCCCACATTCATTTGTGGCCAAGCGACAGTCTGTAATGCAGTCCCTCATGCAGTCAAGATGTGAATTATACAGAAGAAATTATGCGCGACATTTTCTCTAGAGGAATAGGTAACTCCGACTTTCAACTAGATCTTCTTGGGGACCCGAACCAAAACATGACCCTGGAAGAAGTCTTCAAATTCGTCGAAGCCAAAGAATCGGGCAACAGATCCGCCTTCAGACTGTTCGATTCCCAGTCCACAGACGCCATCAGCTCATATCGAAAGGGGCGCATTCAAGTCAAGCCCACATCCGATAAGATGCAAGCCACATGTGCCACTCTACTTACTGCGGAGAAACAGGACACGGCAAAAGTTCTCCACTGAGAATCAAATAACGTTCCTGTCCTGCTTTCAATCAGACTTGCTACCACTGCTTGAAACTACACCATTTTGAATCAGTTGTAGAGGCAAAACATTGTCAAAAATGGTCAAATCATCACAGGAACCTGATGACATGGAGAACTCTATGTCCAATTCATTACGCTCAGTTTACAAGAATTCATCCAACGGAATGGCTCTGGACCACCACCAATATGTGCAAAAGATGGGAAAAACGCAAGTCAGATCCACAGCTATTTTTTGATATTATGATCGACATACTGCCATCTGACTTTGCTAAATTGGGGTTTAAAAAGAATTTCAAACCCCAACAACAATGACTGCGACCAATAACAAATGGATACATATCCTTGGCGCCCTAGTTGCAAGATTTTCAGGAACAACTGATAACGGGAAAATAGTTCGTTCCCGTCAGATCATTTACATTACCGAGAGCTCGGACAAGCTGTTCTTGAGCAGGAAAGCATGCATTGAACTTGTTTAATTTTTCAAAGATTGGCGGAGTCAACAGGGAAATGACATCAATTAACATGACGGACAAAACTTTGACAGGGACTAAGAATGGTGACATATAAATATGCACATGTCCCCGCCGCAAACTTCCCCCACCAATCCCAACGTCGTTACCATACTCGCCGAAACTTATGATAGACCCTGAAGCAAAGCCTGTCGTTCATCACACACCAGTACCAGTACCCCTCCACTGGAAAGAAGAGGTGAAAGCCGGCCTAGACAGGGACACTTATAGGACTATAGGATATTGGGTAAACTATCTGCTTTTGGTTAATAGATTACGTGTTTAAACTTAGTCACTCTAATCTTAAAATTAGAAGTAATATCTTAGTCATAAAATACGTAACAATTAGACGTACGGTAAGGGCAGGGGTCCGCAACTACGGGGTCGCGACCCAAATTTGGGACGCGAAACCCCCCGCTCTGGATCGCGAAACAATTTAAATTTTCCATAAATATGAGCATTGCGTCTGTGTAGCGTATTTATGTATAACAACTTTATAAATCACTGATTATAATTATGAATGTTTCCCCGAGTATACACTTCCTTATTTACTGTCGTAACATTGGCCAATCAGCATAATTGCAAAAATGAAGTAACAATAAACGTTTCAGAAGCGCTCAGATACTTTTTCCATTTAGACAGTCTTACGTGGTTGTGGATATTATCTCGTTTTGGCAATTTTCGCGTGTTGTTTGTTAGTTTTTAGTTGTGTTTTGGTAAATATACGTCCTAATCAAATAACTAAGTCCTAATTCTTGAAATAAGAACCAATAATTTTGCAATGGTAGAGTGTAGATCCAAGAGGAAGAATTCAAGAGATCAAAAGTCGAGGAAACATTCGTTACTTAGTTGTTCGCATTGTTACATCCTACTACGTAGACTTTAGGCTTTCAAAATGCTCCGTACGCACCCTCAGGACTCCGTTAAAGACACTTAAAACCTCCGCGAGCTATTCGTTTACTTGAAAACTGTCCTCGACCCACTGCCCTACATCAATCTACTTATCTATCCTCGACCCACTGCCCGACCTTCCTCAACTTTCCTATCCTCAACCCACTGCCCTATCTCCCTCAACCTTCCTATCCACGCCACTGCCCCATCCCCCAACTTTCGCATCCCCGAACCACCACTCTATCTCCCTGAACCTTTCCCCTCTCGTCCTACTGCCCTATCTCCCTCAACCTACCTATCCTCGACCCACCGCCCTATCTGCTACAACCTACCTATCTTTGACCTACGGTGCTATACTATTCAGTACTATTATTTACTACCCGATCGCCACACTGAACTTTACTATCTTGCGACCAACTTCCATGGGTTAAACTGGTCGTGTATGCCAATGAGATGATTCAATCGTACGTCGACAAAACAGGATTGACGGCATTCGTATAATATGTAGGCTGGAATCTCAAATGGTAAACAATAACCATAATTGACAGTTTAAAAATGTGTTACTAATTGGGCTACTGATGGCTTCTCGCTGGGAGTGACAGTTTTCTAAATTTTAACAATCCGTTTTATGCCCTTAATAATTGGCCATGTCGTGAGTCTTGTGACAATATGATGCCGATCCGAAATGAGCAATAGTGCTCCTGTTCGTATAAAGTTTTTTTTTTTTGACATTTTATAGTAAAAGCTGCGTCCTTTGCAGCTTCATAAGTTTCAGATAAGATAAGCTCAATTTTGGGACTACACGCTGGATTGGAGGGAAGTTGGCAACGCTAGCTACGACAAAACATTTCATGTCTTAAAAATAGTTTGGAAGGATTTACACTCACTAAGCGACTTATATTTTTGACTGTTTTTGAGCTTTCAGCCTCCTCAGCCACGTAAAAAAAATTTGTATATACAACAAGGATATGGCAGAACATTCGTTGAAAAAGACTAAGCGTGCAAATATTCGATTACTTCCTCGTCGTTTTGCCCTGCACGGAAATACAGGCGACATTAAATGAGTTTCTGAAAGGGAACTCAGATATTTCGATATCGAAAGGCCTGTTAAAATTTTAAAAAACAGTGACTCCAAGCCCGATGCCATCAGTAGCCTAATTAGTAGCACATTTTTAATCCACTAATTATGATTATTGATTACCAATTGAGATTCCAGCCTACATTTACGAATGCCGTCAATCATGTTTTGTCGACGTACGATTGAATCATCTCATTGGCATACTCGACCAGTATAACACATGGGAGTTGGTCGCAAGGTGGTTAAGTTCATTTTGACGGTCGAGTCGTAATTTTAGCGCCGTGGGTCAAAGATAAGTAATTTGAGGGAGGTCGGACAGTGGGTCGAGGGTGGGAAGTTTGAGGCAGATAGTGCCAGGGATTGAGGGTAGAAAA